AAATTTTGAGGGGGCATTGTCATATGATTTTGAAAAATTTGGGGGGTACAGATACTTATGACCGCTACTGTATATATTCGTGTTTGTCGAAAAAAATCACCAAATTTGGAAAATGATGCTTATTCTCACTGAAAGTAAGCTCTTTGTGTGCACTACTGTCCGATATACGTATGAAAATGAAATGACCAGGCGGAGGGTTCAATACCCATGCGGGGTAACACAAGAAGGGTAAGATTTTTTACCAAAAATAAAGTGATGGAATTTCTACATGCTTGTGCAGCATACATGCAGCAGCAATTGCATTGTTTTCGAGTGAAATTTCCGTACTGTAATAATTATATATTTTCGGATTATTTCACTGGCATATAAAAAATTCGGAAATCGTAAAGTTTTATGAACATCCATTTCCTAAGCTTTATGGTTTGCTGCTTTATTTTATAAGTTTGTAATCATCCTTCGTCAGAGAATATTCTATAATTATCTATGATTTTAGATAATTAATACCATGATAATGTTCTTTTTTTTATCACAGCTATTGCCAGTGTTCATAGTGTTGTGGGAACAATAGGGATGGGAATGCGACATTGAGGCGCGTCGCGTAATAATAGTAACATTGGTGTAATGATGTAATAATTGGTAATAGCATGTAATGAGATGGATGCTTCAACTTTCGCCGTTAAAATTGACATTTGACTCAAAATCGTTTTCATCTTCAAATCAGCTATTGTTTAATGACGAGGAGAGTGTATTTCCTCTTTTACGAACAACCCTTTTTGGTGATGATTCGCTACCTTGTGGTAACAAGATAGCAGTTGTCGGTGTGGATAACGGTATCGTGATATTTGAATTAATAATGTTACTATTGACCATTGAATTTGCACAGCTTGTGCTTGTTGATATTATGTCACCGCTACTCATTCTTCAATCTTTCACTGAGGAATTAGACTCTGCATTTCTTGGCTTGCTTACGATTTCAACATCAGGGTGAGGATGATAAAGACGGATCATTGGGATAAAATGAAATGGGCTCCCTGCTTGAATTCTGTAGCACCGAGTGAGACCTCAGCGAGACTGAATTTGATGAAGGTGGTGGAAAGACATGTTTTTGATTGATCGGAGGAGTGGATACAGGTTCATTACTACTGGCTAATGGTGTTGGTGATACGGAATTTACAATGTCCTTATCGTCCGATTTATTATTAATATTTGACTTTCCTTATTTCCAACTTTAACACTTTGATCACTACTGATACTGCTACTGTTATTTCTTAGTGGTTTACTTTCTCTGCTAAGAGTAGTATCTTTCCTCTTGATTTTGTCACCCGGTGAACCCAAAACTTGCTTGTTCCTGTTTTCTTTCGATTCAGTTTCTTCCAACAAAGAGGATAGTTGGTGAAGGGGATAGAGTTTAGCTTGGAGCTTTGAGTTTAGAGTTAAGAACGCTCTTTACTTTCGCCCACTTTATTAAATAAATGCTACAACTTTACAAATCAATTTACATTCTTTAAAGTATAAACTAATTCTATGCCACTACAGTAAAGTAAACGATTTTAAGAGTGAGAGAGACGTGACGTTACCTTTGTGCACCATGAAGAGTGACACTTGTAATCTTGAGACGCGCCTAGGGAAAGGTGGTCAAGAAAAGATTAGCAAGTGCGTGAAAGTCAGTCAAATAGTAATCCACCTCAAAGTTAAAGCCTTACCTTATTTAGTGCCGAAATCCAAGCGTTTCGATTATCGTCACGCGAAGAGTGCGCCGTTTTAGAGACAGACTCGCCTGTGACGACAACAATGTATAATCTATTTATTTAATAAAAATTTTTTTCAAAATGTCTTAGTTTTTTATTAAAATATTTTTATTTTATAAAACTTATTCAATTTATAACAAAAACTTATAAAAACATTAACTATTATCTATACTTTTATTACGCAAAAATTTAATTTAAATTATTTAAAGCAATATTGATTTCGCGAAATTCGTACGTGTCGATCACTATTGTCGATCATATGAGTTATACATAATTCGACAAATTTCCAACGTGTGAAACTTTCCTCACAACTCCTTTTGACCAATAGCAAATAACATGAGTGATTTTCTGTGTTTGGTTTTCACCCACATTACTATATAAGGATTTATATTTAAGGTCAAAATAATATAATAAATATTCAACGTAAAGATTATGGAAATTAGTCCCGAAATTTTATCAATATAAGCAGGCGTTTTTTTTTATTGTCGAAAATTGCACATTTAAAAATTATTGCGAGCAGACCCGCAATCTCTTTTATAAAATTAACAGACAAATATTCAGACTACACGTAAAAAATCGATTTCTATATAAGGTAATGTTCTGATTTCAATCCTTGATTTGTTAAATTTAATAAAGTTCTTCAATGATAACTTGATTTCTTACACCTAACTTCAGGGTGTTGAAAGAAAGATGCCGTATATGGATAACAAGATTACAGAGTTGGACTACGTGGCCGATGGTGGTTCATCAAGGGTTCTGAAAAAAATGCTGGTCATTAATGGCAACGAAATACCTGTTGCCATGAAAATTGTAGATGGAAAATCGAATGAAGCTGCCAGAGAGGTATATGTTGTTTGAATGTCCTTTCTCATTTTATAATAATAAATTAACTGCTGTGTAAATTATAGCTTAAAATCTATTCCAAGATACAAACACACGAAAACATTATTAAATTTTATGAGTCACGTCATGGTAGATTTAAAATTATACATATGCTGTAATTTTACGTTATAAAATTATTATTAAATCAACATCATTTATTTTTAAGAACCAGATGGATCCTATACATTTGTTTTAGAATATGGGGAGTTGGGAAGTCTACGCGGGTATCTGACGAAAAATCTTAAAATCACGTGGGAGGAAAGAATTGACATTGCGAAAGGAATCGCCCACGGGCTAAGTCATTTACATGAAAATAATATTTTACATAGAGATCTGGTAAGATTCCATTTTTCCGTTATATTAAATAATAAGTATTAATATCTTAAATAATTTGATTTTAATTTTTAATGCTGTATAATATAATTAGCACTCTCGAAATATCGTTTTATCGACATCTGACGGAAAACTGAGAGCGAAGATAATCGACTTCGGAATGTCAATAAATTTGCTATGTGAAAGTTTAGAGACTTCAGAGGTTAAAGGTGTATTTGCATTCATAGATCCAAGGATCTTGAATATAGAATCTTATACTGAATTTACCGCAAAGTCTGACGTTTACAGCTTGGCAATCATTCTGTGGGAAATTTCAAGCGGAACAGTGCCACTCAAAGGCTTAGGTCGTAATGATATTATAATAAATGTATTATTGCATGGTCAAAGGGAGAAGCCGGCTTTAGACACCCCGTGTGAGTATATAGAGATATACCAGCAATGTTGGATCGAGAACCCAAATCGACGCCCAAACGCCAAATGGATATGTGAACAACTTAATAAGGACACACTAATCACTGGAACTGTGTTCAAAGGAGAGGAGGAAAAATGCTGCAATCGGCACCCTCATGATTTTAATCTTTAATTAATACAGTATATACGCGTGTACCAACTTTTTTGAACCTAAATTTATATATGTAAGTCTTTACCGTTCGTTATTTAAGTGTTATTTTAATAATTAGATCTTCGTGACCGAAAATGTTACCGTTGTGCTTCACGTTATAGATGTAGGATAGCATTATGCGGTTGCGGTCTCAACACTTACTTTTAACACCATATTTATCATTAAATCGATCTTAATATTTACTCTCGGCTTAGTCAATAAAAGGCGCGATATGCTCGACTTATTTTTATTTCTTCTGCAAATAATCATGTTTATCTTGTGTCGTTTTCTCTATCTTCATAATAATGCATCGCCCAATATTGAATCATGATAGTGTGTTAAATAAAAATAAAATGAATTGTACAATAATTTCGTGTCTTGTTAGTATAAATTGTTTGTACACAGAAGCTTTACTGTCTAATCGATAATTATTTCACATGATTGTCTAATTCGTATTAATTGTAGTTGCCTAAATAAGAAATCCTGTTCTCTCAGGTCCTACTTCGGTCCTCTATATATTTCACACTTAGTAGGAATACGTAATTGTATATTTTATACTAGCAGAGATTTTTTTCCCAAAATAAAAGACATGGGGGGGGGGGGTGTTCTCCGTATGGAATTTTTACAGCATATGTGCAGCTACAACAGAGATTTTTTACCCAAAATAAGTGACAGGGTGGCTGCTCTCCGTATGGCATTTTTACATGCTTATGCAGCATACATGCAGCAGCATTTGTATTGTTTTCGAGTGGAATTTCCGTACTGTAATAATTATATATTTTCGGATTATTTCAATGGCATATAAAAAATTCGGAAATCGAAAGTCTTATGAACTTCAATTTCCAAGCTTTATAATGTGTGGGCAGGCTTATGTTCGAAAAATTACAAATATTATCACATAAAATTGTTTTCGTCACCGGCGAGTCTGTCACTAAAACGGCTCACTCTTCGCGTAACGATAGTCGAATACTTGGATTTTGGCACTAAATAAGGCAAGGCTTTAACTTCGAGGTGGATTACGATTTGGCCGACTTTCGCGCACTTGCTAATATCTTCTTGACCATCTTTCTCTAGGCGCGTCTCAATATTACAAGTGTCACTTTTCATGGTGCACAAAGGTAACGTCACGTCACTCTCACTCTTAAAATCATGTACTTTACTGTAGTGGCATAGACTTAGTTTATACTTTAAAGAATTTGTAAATTGGTTTTGTAAAGTTATAGCATTTATTTAATAAAGTGGGCGAAAGTAAAGAGCGTTCTCAACTCTAAATTCAAAGCTTCAAGCTAAACTCTATCTTCTTCACCAACTACATAAAACTATCCTCTTTGTTGGAGAAAGTAGAAAAAGGTGGAAGAAACTGAATCGAAATCCAACGAAAAGAAAGTCTTTGGGTTCTCTTAGCAGAGAAAGTAAACCACCAAGAAATACAGTATCAGTAGTGATCAAAATTTTAAAGTTGGAAATAAGTAAAGTTCAAATATTAATAATAAATCGGACGATAAGGACATTGTAAATTCCGTATCACCAACACCATTAGCCGGTAGTAATGAATCTGTATTGTAACATAGAAAAGGGTGACGCGCCTTGTGTTAAATTCCAGGTTTCTCCACGATGTTGGGAAGAAAGACTGCAGTAGCCAGTACAATGAGTATGATAGAAACAAGCACGAGCTTGGAAAAAGGGAAAAAAAGAAGAACTACGACATAATTGCAATGGTCCCCACGTGACCGGGTTGTGCGAGGACTGAACATGGCACTATGA